GAAATCATCCCCTAAAGTCTCTGTAGAAACCACCACTTCTGGGAATGTTCATGTCCTGTGTACTCCACTTCAGTAGAGTGGCTCCTTCCTCTGACTATTTTAAGAAGTGTTGGTTTCTCCAGAGATTTCTCCACATCGGAGCGGTATTTAAAGTAATTACTCATCTTCTTCTTTTGAGGTAACGCTTGTGTTGCCATTGTTATTAAAGCAACAGCTTTAAGCATTATTATGAAGTTCACATTTTGGACTTGGCTTTGTGCATTGGCAATGTACAATCATTTATGAAACAATTTAGTATTCATCATAGACTTGAGTCTTTTGAGTTTCTATCCTGATAAGCAGATGTGTAAAATCCTTTGTAAGCTCTTTCATTGTATAAAATCCTTTGTGAGTTCTGTCACTCTATTCTAATGTGAATGCCTGACCTTGATCAAGTTGTAATATATCTATACTATATTTTCAGATTTTCTACATTTTTAACTCTTTCCACATGAGTGTCAGAAGTGAAGTGGTTACAAATGATTACATTATAGTTATCGTTTGACTTTTACTAATATTTTATTTCAGATAGCAAGTAAAAGGATCACCCAACATTTATCATTTAGCTCTATAAATCATATAGAAAATTATGCTATGCATTACGTTTGCAAGATCTCCATTTGATTTGAGCACAGCTTGTGATGATAACGTAGTATATGAATTAGACCTCAAGGGATAACAAACACTGAAGATCGTTTTTCTTGCAACAGGTCCCTGTGGTACACAGTTTTAGTATAGATGGGCAGAGCTCTCATATCTGCTGTTTTTAGTAAGAGATCTGCATTGTCTCTTTAGATTCTGAAGTAGTTTGTGATGCTTTCCTACCAATTTCCAATGCAGCAAAGAATAACTTTAGAAACCTGCTGTAGACAGCACTGATCAGTATGCTTATAATAAATAATGCTGTTTAGCTTTAAGATGTCCAAGTTCCTATTTGCATAATATCGTGCTTATAAGATGACACATATCAATAAATCTGCCATCTACGTTTCACGCTTCTCTTATCTTCACCATTACAAATAAACATCAAAGATGAGGCCAATAACGTTATAAGCTGCATGAAGTGGAAAGTGTAGAAGAACTTGTATTCATTATTCACCGGTAGTCCATTTTTCAGTATGGCATTGTGTTATATATACCCTTTAAAACATAGGTAAAGTGCAAAGTATATATTACTCTCTAGATAGATTAATTATCTTACCTGTTTCCTATTGGCTGGGACCTGCTGTCATTACAATGAGAGCTCGGCGGAGCCGTCGGTGATACCATGGCCAGCTCCGCTTAGCGTAATGGCGGTTCAGTGTCCCCTGAGCAGGCTCCACTGAGCTCTTACTGTAATGAAAGTTCAGCGTCCCCTGGTAACCAGGGGACACTGAACTGTCATTGCAACTGGCCGGAGCCAGCCATGAGATCACGGCTGGCTCCGCCCAGCTGTCGGTTGCGAGGCATATGGCCGGCCGCTTGGCCCGCTTTCGGGTTTCACTTCGGCTCAGTGGAGCCAAAGCATATGCCTTCGGCTGGACTGAGCTGCTCGGTCAGCTTTGGGAGCTGTACAGGCTATAGTGAATAGCCCGTACAGCAGCCCTTCGGTTCTACTCAGGCGGCCAAAGCTACGGCTGATCCTTCGGCTAGCTTTGTGAATAAACCCCTGTGCATTGGATGTGATGACTCCTGGACCTTAGACTGCTGCATTGGAGAGGGAGAGAAGCTAAAAGGACCGATCTAACAGCAAGCCATCTCCGAAGATCAGGTGGGTATACCTTTATTTTTCAGCCCCACTGCAAGGGTTGAAAATATTTTTTCACCAGAGTTTTGTTTTAAGTGATTGTTACTTCCAACCTGGCAACTTTAAGGATCCCAACTATGCTTTTTATATCAGTTTTACAACACAATGTTTAACATGTCTAGTTCTTGTATGGTAAGTAACTTTTAAAGAAAGCAACCGTAAATGAAGAGCCTCGACGAAGCACAGACGTCGGATTAAGAAGTCAATAATGCTGCAGACTTTGGAAGAGTACCTAGGGGAATGCAAGGGGCAAATGGAATAGTGGAATTTATAGCAGTCTCGCTACAATGCATTGCTCAATGCACTACTGCAGTGGAAGATGTAAGCATAAGATGCTGGAAAAGACCCTAGCTATTCCTTATGCTATCCAATCTAACAGTACCTATGCAGAGAGGCTGTTGTAAATTCTTTACTGATGTGATGTACTGGCCTCCAGGACCACTTTCTTGAGGACTTCTCTGTTTAGCTACCCAATTTTCACTTTAAATGTTAACAGCCCAGTTACCTCTCAGCTTCTCATTCAAACCTTTTCTTTTGGTCTAACGCAGTGGACACACACTTTAAACACTCTCACAACACCCTTGACTTTTGTATACTCCCATCTCTGCACTCTATGCAAACTCTTCAACACCCCCTTTCCTTTCTCTGATCACAACCTTATCAGTTTCATGCCCTCCCTATGTTTAACCCCCTATCCCTCCAACAAGCAAACAGTTACCCATAGAAACCTTTGCCACTTTAACCCTTCTCTTCTATGCTTTACAACAGACCACAATGTCAACAACATTTAACCCCTGTCCTACCCTGACTTTGACACTTCTGCCTACAACTCTATCATCTCCTCCCCTCATCCTCTATCTGTAGGGATCCCTCTAGGGTCTGTCCTGTCCCTGCTACTCTCTATCTACACCTCTTCCTTGGGCCAGTGGATAACCTTATAACAGCTGCCAATACCATCTCTATGCTGAAGACACCCACATCTATCCCTCTGTTTCTCAGCTCGCCCCTTCTATCTTCTCACCCATCACTAATTTACTCACTGTCATATATCAGTATGGATGCCACACCACTTCCTCAAACTCTCCCCCCAGGTTTCCTCCCCCAACTTCTCCATCGAGATCAAAGCAGCATGATCAGTCCTTCCCCTCAGGCCAGGATGCTAGGTGTAATCCTGGACCCTGATCTTTCTTTTGGTCACATATCCAATCAGTGCTCAAATCTTGCTTCCTTAACCTCTGCAACATTTCCAAAATGTGCCCCTTCCTAACAAATGATACCTCAAAGCTTCTAATTTAGTCCCTTGTTATCTCTCACCTCAACTTTTTCAGCTCCCCCCACATTGGCCTATTTTTACACAGGCTATGTCCCCCTTAAGTCTATTATGAATGCTGCTGTCAGACTAATTCAGCTTACCAACCTCTCGGTGACCACTGCCAATCACTCCACTGGCTTCTGCTTGCCTAATAAATACAATTCAATAGACTAACAACTTGCAAAGTCATCCACAACTGTGCTCCAAGCTACATCACCAGCCTCATCTTGAAATATCACCCAAACCATCCTCTCTGCTCCTCCCAAAACCTCTTGCTCTCTAGCCCAGTGACGTGCAGTACCTCTTGGTCAGCGTGAGGCATTCCCCAGCCCCGCCAGCCGAAGCTCTGCCGACCGAAGTCCCGCCCCCAACCAGTCCCCAAGCTAGTGTAAAGGAGGAAGGGAGGAGCCTCCCTGTCACTTGCTCCTAACCGCTGAGGCTCCGTGACAGGTTACACAGCGGGGAGGATTTCCCTGTTAGATGCCGATCTGAATGGAGAAAAAGCTGTCAGCTTCAGACATGAAGCTGACAGCTTTTTCCTCCATAATTCTAGGTGAGGCTCTGCCTCCCCAGACCGCACGTCCCTCCTCTAGCCACCTCAACACCTCCTCCCATGCTCGACTCCAAGTCTTTTCCAGAGCCTCTCCCTTCCTCTGGAACTCTGTCTGGCTGTCGCCTACTCTGTCCACCTATAGGCGGTCCTTGAGAGCTTACATCTTCAGGGAAGCCTATTCCACTTCCACTTGTAGTTCTATTTTCTCCATGAGCTCATCACTCACAGTTAATGCCTTTTATATCACTTGCCCCTACCTTTAGATTGTAAGCTCTCATGAGCAAGGCCTGTCTAAACCCTTCTGTATTAAATTTTATTTTAACTGTGCTATCTCCCTTTATTTTGTAACGCGATGTGCAAACAGTTGGCACTACATATATCCTATTTATGACACCCCATGGCACCCCAATGCAGTAAGGCAACGCAGCTCTGAAGCACATGTGTTGCATTGCACCACAACACACAGTAACCCACTACTGTACATTGTAGTGTGCTGCATATGATTTACAGGGCTGCAGCAAACAATTCTGTGTCCACACTTGGCTGCCTGACCCCCAACTCCATTTCTTTAGCGTCCCCTTTTCCAATTCTTTCCAATCATTTTCTTATTTATATTTAAAAATATATATTTTTTAAATTATTTTCCTTCTGATAGGTGTGGAGGAGGCTTATGCAGTCACTGTAACTAAGAGAGAGCCGCACATTGTAGACATTTGCAAACGCCTCTAAGTGCTTGCTTATACAACTTAGTTTACAGGTGTACTTTAAATTTAGGAAATAATTAGTAAATGTCATAATGTTATGTTTCCCTGTACAGCTTTTCACTTTTGACATTCAGCAAATTAGGAAGACACGTATTTTGACTAGAAGTGCTTAACTCAATTATAATTTAAATGAAGTTGACAACAAACATGCCTATATGTTACACTCTTTGATTCCCTTTTATGGCCTAAATTAAAAGCTGGTACATGTAGTGTTTTTATATCATGGATTATTTTATACGTTGAGTTAAACAGAAACATACAGTAATATTGTCATAAAATGATATCCTCGTAGAGGGGTGAAATCATATACTCTAGCTGGAAATATGTTGTGTTACAGAGAAGTGCACTGCTGAGACTTGTTTTATTGCAGATATTGCAATAGTAATTCAAGAATATTTGTCAGTTTCACCTGTTTATGAATCATCAGTATCCTAACAGACATCTATGATACAGTCACAACTTCCTGTTTGGGAATGAAGCCAATAATCTGAACAGGTAGTGAAGAGTTAAAAGGGCTGTTCACATAAGTTAAGAGGTTCAAACAAACTATGTGGGAGTTTTCTATGCAGCCACAGCTTCAGAGACAAAGCTGATTTATCTCTTGAGAAGTCGTCTATTGCATGGAAAAGGTTAGTTATTGAAATAAAAAGAATTTGGTGTTCAGTCAGGCACACTCTAATTGGCACAGCAACATTAAATGTGAATTTGCACTCTTAGGATGAATTCAGGATTAGATTTGTTAGGATGTTCTGATTAAAGAGCGACAGAATTTTTTATGTCAGGTGAATATGACCCAGCAGAGTGCAAAGCTTCAGTACAGTACATTTCATTTCTATGACTGAACATCATTAAAACACCATCAAAGTCTTACTTATACTGTATGTAGCTGCCAATAACAGAAACAACCTCATTTCATTAAACAAGAAAGGATTTTATTTAACACTCGTATAGAAAAAGATTAGAGAACTCTGACTGTATCAACATAAAAATATATCTTTTTGAATACGAACTTCTTTGTTGAGCTGTGAATTTACAACATAGTTTAGTATTTTTATTACACAGTAGATGGTGCCAATTCAAGCAGGAATATGAGATACAAGGAAAGGATTGCAGTGCATTTGCTTTATAGTAGGTTTAGAAGCTAGTTTAGGTAGATATACCTAGTCAGTTTCTTGTTTAGTTCTATAATTCCCTGTGGAATGTCTTTTGAATATGGAACCTATAGAATTACTGTATTGTTTTCCCAAACCAGGGACCACTATCAGTCCTTGTTTTATGGATATCCTCACACATTCAGAGATTCAGGGTGGCTTCACACCTACACATTGCGGTAACATGCAACCGTAACGCGTGTTCTTAACGAAACACACATTAACAATAACATTAGGCTATGATAGTGTTAAGATAAAATTGGGAGAAATAATAGAAAGTGTCTAAGACATGTTCTATTTCAACTGCTACGGTTGCACATAGCAAGCAGTCAGCTTCTATCTTTCACTTTTTTCTACACGGATTAGAAAATAAAATATAAAAGCTGATTGGCTGCACTCCAGTTGAGACAAAGTTGGAACAACATTTGTTTTAAATTTGTTTTATTACTACCCCTCAATGTATGGAGCGTTACGATGTCATTCATTTAAGTCTTTAAAAAAAATTGGCAGGGATTTTTTTCTTCCATTGCTGTACAATAGCAGCCCATTCTAAATGATTTATCTGCTCTGAGGCAATGCATGTTAAAGTGCAAACTACCACAAGTTAACGTGCATGTGGTAACACACCACAAAAAAATGAATTGTAATAGTATGAAAAGGCCCAAAACAATTACAGTTTCTTGCATACTGAGATTAATCAACACAACTTTGCTACTGCTTGAAGGGTGGGAAACATGAGCTGTTAGTTGTCCTTGAGTACTGAAGTTGGAACACACTGAATTTGTGCACACACCTAAAAATGGCATTTACAAACCTGCTAGCAGGGTGCCAAATTATCCATTATCTATTATATCTAAGTTGTAGAATTTACATAGAATCAGATAGTGCCTTACTTGCCTTAAACATAGACCCCGCGCAGTTTATTTTTGTCACTCATTAAGAGGGAGAGTCGTCAACCCAGCACACTAGAATGTTATTGATTTAGTCAGCTACAAAATTTAGCACATTTTGGTAAGTGCAAACTAAAAATGTGAGATAGCAGAATTACCATATTTGTTTAATAAATTAGCACAAATAATCTGGATTTCACTTTTCTGCAATCATATAAGCAATTTTTTTAAATCTGGCTTCATGTGATTATTGCACTTTGCACATTTGCCACTTATACACTGCTTTACTACACACAAAAGTGTTAGCAGCTGCTCAAGATCATCTCAAACATTTGCAAACTATTACTGCATTTGTGGTCATAGATAAATCTGTGATCTACCATTGTGTAAAGAGCACCTAATTATAATGACAAGTATTCTACATCTATGGAAGATTTCCATTTTTTTAATCTTGTTGGATATCAATACAAGCCTCCAATTATATTTATCAGCTATGTCAGGTACAAAGTGATTGCAGTGCAGCTTTTATGAACAGAAGACAGACCGTCTCCTTTTATAACAATAATACTACATCTAATAATAATACATCTTAAAGTGTATCTTCACTGTTGCAGTCAAATTTGAGAACACCGCCACTATATGTTTGCTGTGTTCGTATTCACATAGCATACCTAAAAATAATTGTTTAAAATATTTCTTCTTCTTTAGATGTTTCATTAGAGCAGGACTTTGACAGACTGCAACCTTTTCTGTACAATTGTAAAGGGACAGGAAACTGTCTGTCCCCATGGAAAGACTAGGGCATTTTGAGCTTCCTCTCATTAACAAACAATGCTTCTAGATCTTTATCCCTAGCCTTATTAGGACAGACAGTGTTCAGATCTAGTTTACAGCTGATAATGAGATCTGCAGGCACAGTATAAACGGGGTTAATAATGGTAAAAATTAACCTCTCCATCTCCCTTGCATTCTAGAGGAAAATCCAGTTTAGAGAAAAGCATTTCTTTCAGAAAGAGCACACAATATGCAAGCACCATTTTTTTGAGTTATGCTATGTGAATGAAAAATATAGCAATATTAGTTATAGAAAATAGGTGTTATTCCAATGTCAACTTAATTGCTGCAAAAACCCCATAAACCCTTTTAAATTCAGAAAAAAGAGTAGAACTTGTTTTTTCCCAAGCAAATGTTGCCTAAGCAGTTCAGTGAGCGAAACTGAAAGTTTGTGTTTAGGTGAAATTTCACTGATGTTGAAATCAATTTTTCTGAAATCACTCCATTTCTCCCTGGTTTGCATATACAAGTACATTAATGCCAGTCCTTTTAAGTTGACAGCAAATTATAATTATGATAGATCAAGGTTAATACTAAAACTATTTTGCAATTCACATGACATTGGTACATAGATAATGGATAGCCAGTCTTGTATGCCAACTTTAGTCAAAATTGCATGTTAAAGCATGAATTCCTTATTACTGATATTATTGAAATTCTTAATAAAAACAGGTCTCAATTCACGTATTTTAACATGTTACTTCCTAAAAAGGAATTTACAATTGTAAACAAACTTTTTCTAGGGAAGAAATAATTGTGATTACTCTGTATTTAATGAAGCAATTTTAAAAAAAAATGTTGCACACATGTTAAAATCTGAATTGCTGGCTAGGATACTGCTTAAAACCCCCCAAACAACTATATAATTTCTAAAAGCAGAGATCCTGCAGAATAATAAAATGCTAGTTGCAATATTTGCACAAATGTTTATGAGACTGATATTTTTAGGAAAAAATACAGTTAAAGAAATGTTAGAACACACAAACACAATAAATTAATCCATTTTTATATATAGTCTTAAGGTGCCCATACACTGCACGATTCTCGTACGAGAATCGCGGGAAATCCCGCGATCGTACGAGAATCGTGCAGTGTGAACGGTCCCACGTCTTTTGTCTAAGGAGAAAACCAGCCGAAAATCTTAAGATTTTTCGGCTGGTTTGAATTATGCTCGGGAGACAAATGCCGAACGTCAGCATTGCGGTCATCGGATGATCGCAAGTACGATCTGCCTGTCCAAGATGGGCAGATAGTACGTTTTTTTAATTACTTTACAACCATCGCAAGACTAAGGTCTTGCGATGGTTGTAAAGTGTATGGCCACCTTTAAAGAGTTGCATCAGGTAAATAGATACCAAATATGTAAATTCTTAAAACTGATTGTACCCCTAAAATGGTAAGACCCAACATTGGTCACAGGTGATGCTTTAAAAGCCTTTACCGCTCATCAATTTAGAGATAAAACAGTGAGTGATGGCCCTAGAATTATTGTTCTCACTCTAATCATGAGGTGTTTTCTTATGTAGGCACACCGGACCCATTTTTGAATTTCAGTGTCTGTGTATGTGGGGGTGGAGGGCTTTAGCACACTTTCCGATTTTTATATATATATGTTACTTTAATTTTTTTAATTTAATTTATTTTTTTATACTTCTTTTTTTATATACACTTGTTTTTATTTTCACATGGTTCCTAAGCAAAAAGGAGAAAGTCTCCCAGCAAAAGCGGAGATCCACTTTGTGGTGTCCAGTGGGCAAACAAGATAGCAGCTCGTCAGATACACTGTTCTATGGTTCTGTCAATTCTGTAAGAATTGTATAGAAATTGTGCTTCAAAGTGTACCCTATTGCCATTTGTTTGGAGAATATAGATCAAAATATGCTCAACTTTTCAGTTGGCTGTATTACACCTTATAGTTCATACCAGCAAGAACGCTTTCCTGCCAGGTAATGTAATAAACACTGGTACTGCTCCAAGAGTAGAGGTAGCTGGCTAGTGTATACAGGGTTTTCTCCAGCTATCAGACACCAAAATATTACATTGAGAAGATTAATTTATTAATAACACAACACAATGTTTTTGAAGGTCTGTGAGCATGTTTTGATCTATACTCTATAGTCAAAAAGGGTACACTTAGAAGCACCTTGAAGCACCCTCTCTAAGTGCACCCTTGGTTTCCATTCAGTACACAAGAAATAACAAGGATGCTAGATTTCTAGAAGGATCAACAAGTAGTTTCTGGACTTGTAGAAAATATACTTAGCCTGAAAAAATGTTTTACATTAAATGCAGCCACCAGGTCTGAGTACTATCAAAGTGACACTAAATTCAGGAGTTAAATATTAATTTAAGTACCCTATTAACAAAAATGTATCTTATTTGTGTAACACTCAGCCGTAGATCCTCAAATCATCTCTCAATTGGTGCTGACACTGTCCATCCTTCTGGAGGGTGGCTACTTTTGTGTGTGTGTTGCAAAGTAAAGCTCGCTCCCGTGATGGACTACAATCTCAATACAAATTAGTAAACTAAATGAGATATTGTAGTCTATCATGGGAGCTTTTTACACAGGGAAACAGCCATACTGTATCCACAAGGTTGGAAGTGCACAATTGTCTAAACTGTCACTGTATGCTGTAGTACTCTTCACTGTTAACATCTGAACTCACAAATGTGGGGACTGTCTACATATTTTGGCTATATGAACCTGTAATGAGGCAGCCTGGGGCTATATCTTCAGATGGCATCCCTTTGGGTCACGTAGGGGACAGCATGCAGAGCGGCATGGCCACAATGCTTGCAGTGTGTCTACCACCCCCTTTCTGGCCCAGTGACCCAGGTTGCTAAGAGAGATGTGGAGATGTGTAAGGGTCATACACATTTCCCTGCCCAGCTCTTAGCAACATGGGACCCTTTTGCTGGTGTCCCACCCAGCTCCTGGCAACCAGTAACCTAATTTGTCTCCACTACCCACCTACCACTGCTATGATTCTGCCCCCAGACGGCCTCAGACAGCAAAAAGGCTAGGGACACCACTATATATATATATATACCTCAGTTGGACCTGACTGGAGCAAATTACCCCTAGGATATATCATAGGTGATAAAATGATTACGATAATGTACAGTTATTGAATAATAAAAAATATCCAGCCCTTGCTGGAGTCCAAATCCAAAGTGTTAAATTGAATCTGTCTGATTTCTGTCTTTCATACCGGTATTTACACATGAGGATGGAATGTTTAACTTCCACTCGTTACTACTGCTGTTTCAACATGTTGTTTGTTTGCATCTTAATAATTTTTTTATACTATTTTCATTGATTTCATGAGAGTTGACATCTGCAAATACCAACCTATTGAAACAGAAACTTATTTACCATGTATTTTAATTATGTGTTCATGCAGTGTATATAAACGTTTATAGTAGGTGTGGTGTGTAATTGCCTGTTAGGAATACACTAGCTGCTCTCAGCTTATTATTAACTAGCGACAAAAAGTAGGTGCATATATCTCTCCAAACACGACTGATGAATATCCAGCCATCGTCAAGTTGGCAGACCATTGGGAAATAAAGAAACTCAGCTGATGATTAGTGATGGGCTCGGGCGTGTTCGCAGCTCCACGTGCCGAGCCGGCCAGGAAGCTGACAGCGCTGCAGCGCCAATCACAGGTAGAGACATTATCCCGGTCCGCAGCTGCAGAGATTGGGATATGTCTCAGTGCCTGTGATTGGCGCTGTCGGCTTCCTGGCGGGCTTGGCACGTGGAGCTGCGAACATGCCCGAGCCCATCACTACTGTTGATGACAGTCAGCACATGGTGCAAATGTGATACTTTGATCATGATCTTGACTTAACCATGATCTTGACTGTTTTGCTTCATCATGCTCTTGACGCAATACCTCCACTCCACTAGGGAATTCCCCGTCCACAGCTTGACATAAGAAAGGGTCGTGATGCAGTGACGTAATTGACCTTATATAGCTACATACCTACATTTGGTAAATTACATTTACTTAATATGGCTATGTGGCCATATAAGGTAAATTATGTCAGCACAAGCATCCCAACCCCTTGATTACATTCAGCTGCGGGGAAGGGAATGCCAGACCTGCAGCTGATTCGATGGGAGTGTCCATCTTTCTTTTGAAACCCTTCAAGCTGAACTATTATTTGGCAGATCCAAAAAAACAGTTTTCCATGTGCCAAATATTTGGCATGCCAATAATAGTTTATCTGGCACAATGGGATTGAATGCATGAAATCTGGAGTAGACAGAATCTGGAGCAGCTGTGCATGGCATCCAATCAGCATCTCTCTTTCATTTTCAAAGCTTAACTGAACAAACTGGAAATAGAAGCTGATTGGTTGCTTTAGGCAACTGCTACAGATTCTGTCTGCTCCAGTTTTTATGAATTCCCAGTGTTCATGTTGTCCATGGCACCTGATCAGATGATTGTTTTCATACAGTATATTTTCTATATAAGTATTTTATTATAGATTACCCTATATGATGGGCAATATTTTATACCAGTCAAAGTAGAATCTGCATGAAGACAATTATGACTACAGAAAAGCCACTCTTTTTGCACGAGAATGATTGGATTTTGCATGTAAACTGATTGGGGACCCCTTCGTTACAGTATTCAGTCTACCAAACAGAGATTCAGTTGCTAACAGTGTACATGTTGGGCTTTTATTATTCTCTGATCTTATGTTTGTGCAGTGATCTAGTTGCACTGATTTTGTTTACAATCTTGAGTAAGGTGCAGCATTGCATGTGTTAAGTGCGATGTGGAGCACTCATTTTGAATGAGATTCCAACACATCTTCTCAGCGCACTTGTGTTCCAGCGCACTAATGTGCATTATGATGTGGTACATTGCCAAAAAGTCATGCACAATTTCTGGTCTGTTGTGTGTTGGAAAGCCCATTCAAATGAATAAGCTGTCCTAACTCAAGACATGTTAACACGGACTAGCCTGGTGTGAATGAGCCTTAGAACAGGCCCTAAAAGGTTTGAGGTGAATCTTTTTTTTTTTCATTAAGATACTGCATATTGCTGGTTGTGTGCCTATTTAATGCACATCACAAGCAGGAGAGCAGAAGTGTGTGTTTTATGGCTAGTGCTTTCTGCATTACCTTTGTGCTGAAAGGAACATGTACTTGTGGAATAGTGTTTCTGCAAACACAGCTCTGATCCTGGCAGGCACACGAGGAAAAAGCAGCAGCAGCATTTTATAAATTCTTTTGTATTTGTGAATCACAAATGACTCACTTGAAGCTAAGCTATAAAGCTAAGGTGCACATCTGCAAAGTGTCTCATGAAGAATGGCTGTACAGTGCATGATAAGAATGCCTTCATGTCAATGCTATAGGGTTTGACTTCCAAATTCAAGAACGGTCTGATTGACATATTGAACTGAACACCCTGTGATCTAATTTTCACTTATTTGTTTGTAGTGGGATGACTATATCGATGTGATCTCTCCCGATCTACCAAAATGGATGATTTGGTTGTTCTTGATCTGCTGGACTGCCCCGTGTGCTTGGGAAAATTGGATGCGACTGCAAAGGTGTTGCCCTGCCAGCATACCTTCTGTCAACCATGCTTGCAGCGGATCCTGAAAGCTAGGAAAGAGCTAAGGTGTCCTGAATGCAGGACCCCAGTACATTGCAGCATAGGAGAGCTGCCAGCAAACTTGTTGTTAGTACGCCTACTGGAAGGTATAAAAAGTGGGAAAGGCCTGATGAGAAAAAAATCCTTTCAAAGAATGGGAGGGCTTTTTGCCCAGGACTCCTTTAGGAAGACTCGAGAACAGAAAGCAAACCATGAATCAAACTACAGGCTGTTTCCAAAGAACAGGATGCCTTTGGAAGGGGTAAGAAGTCCCATGTGTCTGTGTGCTGCAACTGAAAAGTTTTACAATCCTAATCGATATGTGTCTCAGCTGTAAGAAAGGTTCTAGCGATGACTGTTATTGTATCATGGAAAAGCTATTTGTGGTTTTACCTCTCTATCATTCCTGCAGCTAAACTGACTGTATGCCTATTGTACACAAATATTCATGTTTTAGCACAGAACCTATAGATATCATGTGTCAGAACAGGTAATGTGAAAGGGATACGTTGGGCAGGTGTAGTTGAATCTTAAATGTCAAATAGATGTTGGAGTGTTTTTTGTTAACTGTACATGTAGAGGTGTATGGCTTGGTGGACATACTAGTGGCCTGGTACCTATACTGCATTTATCACCTGCGGAAAGGTCGTTTTTTGTTCGCTTTATAGAACAGTAGTTTTGGAATTATCGCAGATGTTATTTTTATTGACATGCAGTTCTTGGTTTGCCAAGGAAGCTGTTATTATTAAAAATAATAACCTGTATAATACCATATACCCAGCAGGATTATTTAATATGATGCCTTCTTTAAGATTGCAGTAATGTGAGGTAAAACATGCATTACAGAACTATGGAGGCTGAAGATTCCTGAGCAGCCAGCACTTCCAGGAATGTTGGATGCCTGGCTCCCTCTGAGCTCTGTGGTTCCATATACTGACTCCTGTGTTGGCACATGGCAACATACTGTGTGTTACATGCAGAGGATTAAAGAAGAAGATACTTTTGCGGTTGCAGCTTTTTACCTGAGTAAAGTTTGGTGAGATCGTAGGCAATACAAGTAAGCATAAAGTCCTTTTTACAGAGCACAGAGTTGCCTTAGGTCTGTCTGAATATCACACTTTGACTGTAAAAGATCATTTATGTTGTCAACAGCTACGATATGCAAAGGCTTACCTAACACCACACATTATCAGTAAAAAAAGGGTATCACACAATCAGATTGTAATGTGCGACAACAAACAGGGCCAGCGCTGCCGCTAGGCAAACTAGGCAGCTGCCTAGGGCGCACAGCCTCAAACAGCAGCAGTGCCAGTGTCAGTTTCCAGTGGGAGGCTCCAATGAGTGGAGTTCCCGAGCAGCCTGGGAGAGGCAGGCAGCAGTATGCGGAGGGATACGGAGCAGCTATCGCGGTGTAATCAGCCCGGATCCAGGCAGAAAAGGTGGGAGCGGCGGTCGGGGCCGGGGTAAGAGCTGAGGAAATGCAGAGGAGGAGGAGTGGGAGGGATAGATCTCAGATCCCTGCCTGGCCTGGAGAAGGGCGGGAAATGAGCGCGTCTGCAGATCAGCTCAAGATGGCCATCCCTGGGCTGCTGCTCATCTGCAGAGCGCCCCCCCTCCTGACACTACATTTTCCCCAGACCTCCCGGCAACAACAGCAGCCACCCTGATCAGCACCCCATGGTATGTGCACCCTCTTGGATGGGGGGTGGGGATCCAGCAGAGGGGTAAAGAGGAAGTTTGTCTGCTGTACCTAAATAAAGAGGAGGGGGGATTGGTGGGGTGGGGTGCGGATACTGGAACTTGGTAAAGAGGGTACACATGTAGATTGGTGGGGATGCAGAGGATGTTTGTTAGAGAAGAGAGCACGTGAGTAAACAGAGGTGCCATCTTCTGATTGCTTCTGGGCTGCCCAATCTGAGCCCTGGTGATCTCCCTTTCTATGTATTCATGCCCCCACCACTTCTGCTCTATGTCAGTCTGCCTCCTCCCCCTTGCTTCATTTCACACTTTTACACCCCACTTTGCCAGCTGTAGCACCACCACTACCAGCATCTTGGTAGCAGGGCTAGCCTGGCATTGCTGGGAGTGAGACTGGTGGTGCCAGCTTGGTCATAATCCGCAATCTGAGCCGTGTAGCCCACATGGATGGGTCAGTTTGCCAGCCTCAAGGGCTTTTTATGCTGCTGTGTTGCCCATACAGTGCCCAGTCACACCAAAGAAAGTGTGTTCCAGAGCGTTCGGCCTCTGAAATGCAACCCGGCCAGGCACCCGAATGTGCGGCGCATTAGTGCTTGTGTTCCGCTCTAGTGCGACCTGCAAAAAATGCTGCATGCACTACTTTTTTGCAGATCTCATTGGGCCGGAATGCAGGCACTAATGTGCCACACATTCGGTGCCGGCGATCGCACTGCGGGAGGGGTGTGTGGCTGCCGTGCCATTTGACGTGAATGCACTGCCACGCCCCCTCCCGCCCCAAAACAAAGTGAGCCACCTGGGTTGTGTTCCAGTGCATACCAGAGGCCGAACGCTCTGGAACGCACTCTTTATGGTATGTCTGGGCTCTCAGTCTGAAGCAGACGAAAACAAACAAGCAAATGTGTGTGTTGTATTTGCCTACATATGCTTCTTTATGTGTGTGAATTAATATACCATATTTGCTGGCGTATAAGACGACTCAGCGTATAAGACGACCCCCACTTTTTGTGTTAAAATATAGGTTTTGGGCTATACTCGTCGTATAACACGAGTATAGCCCAAAATAATGTTGAAATGCACCCATTTTCAGTACCATAAGCGGTAACCCCGAGTCACACTGGGGATTACAGTCTCTTACCTTGCCCACGATCCCCGCTGTGTCCTCCGTCTTCTGTCCCTTGCGAGCGTCCGCATCGCAGGGAGGCGGAACCGGCGGCAATTTTAAAAGTTAAAATAAAAATAGAACAAAAAACTAAAAAATCCAAATAAAATCATCAGACCGCCAGGGAGGCTAATCTGTCAGCCCGCTGGATGTGTGGTAAGCTTGGCCTGCGAGATCCCCAGACCTCACCCTGTGTGATTTTTTTCTTGTGGGGATATGTAAAAGATCGCGTTTATGTTCCAGTGCTACCCACTAACCTTGATAACCTTAAACATCGAATAACAACAGGGATCAACTCAGTGGATCGTGATATGCTGATACGCACCTGGGAGGAATTCTCTTATCGCATTGATGTTGCCCGTGCTGCAGATGGTGGTCACATTGAACACTTGTAAGACAGGAAATAAAAGTTGATTGTGAGTATAATACTTGTGACTTGGCTGGAGTTTTGTATTACTTTTCCTTAATAAAATATTGCGTAAAGAAATCGGTTCATTCTTTTTGAATAACCCTTTTTGAAAAGCCATTGTTTACAGCATTGACCATTTTTCCTCATAGTTCTCCTAAGGGTCATGGGAGGACATAAACTAGCTTCCTCCCATGACCCAAAGCTCAGTGTATCGCGGTATACTGAGACCGCCGCAGCCGGGACGGATCCCGACATTACTGTCGAGATCCACCCAACTGCGTGATTGACAGCTGGCTCTGCCTATCTAGAGGTAGAGCCAGCTGTACCCGCCCCCTCCCCATCTGTTCCGCCCGTCAGCGCTGGAGGAGGGGGGGAATCCCTGCAGGGAGCAGTGAGTGACAGTCACGGCTCTCTGCAGGGACATGTTCGAGAAGTGAGCAAGCGACGGTATGTGTCCGCTCACTTCCCGATCAATTGAGCCGATGTGTGACAGTTGCATTGTCACACATTGGCTCAAACTATGAGGTTGAGTGAAAATCACTCGCCTCATAGTTCTCCTTTAATTCTTACAAACCATGCTTCAGTCCAAAATGGATGCCACCAATGGTTCCACAGGAGTAAATCCATGCACTTAAAGAACTCTGTCCCTTTGTCAAATGAAGGCAAAATGACAGGTTTTATTGTAAGAACCCACACGCAGTGATACTACTTTGTCCAAGCTCCCCTGCCCCTCCATCTTTCTATGTCTTAACCCTTTGTAAGCTGCATGTCAGATGGTGTTGAACCTTACACAGAGTTATCATCTTCCTCCTTCTTGTCTGCCGACAATGTTCCAGCCTAGTGATTGACAGCTCAGTCCAGAGCACTGCATCCTGAAAGGATGCTCCCCCATACCTGGAAGCAGTGGGCAAAGTGATTGGTTCTTTTTAAACTGTGAGCAGACTAATATACACTAGAAAACTATACAGTATTCTAAGACACACAGTTCATTCAATGCGTTTATCAGTGAATATATTGTGTGAACCTGAACTAAGCTGAACACACAGAGGAATCTCTTACTTGTTCACACACAGCAAAATAAGCAATCTACGTCATGTGTTCAGTGAATACAGCCAGAGTGTGTTTGGTTTGGCTTAAACATCACAGCAATGAAAATATTAAACAATATCGTGTTTTGTACATGTTTGTACTAGGCCCATCAAATCAAGCTAAAGATTAATTCTTCTATCAGTCCATTGTAAATTCAGTGAGAAAGGGTGATGTTCTTTCATTTGTTTATAGGCAAACTTGAACTGTTAAAGGAAAAGTCTACTTTTTAGAAGATACAATACATTTTTCACCTAAAGTTGGTGGAGAAAAAATTCCAGCACAATGGGCGAAGAGGGTTCTTTATAGTAAGAGCGGTTAAGGTCTGGAACTCACTGCCATCGGCAGTGATTTCAGCCAAGAGTGTAGATTTGTTCAAGAAACTTTTGGACAATTTCTTGAGGGACCGTAATATCCAGGGATACCAGTATCCCTAAGAATGAGATGATGCGTGGACCTACATGGGTTGGAAAAAAAAATAAAAATTTTTTGCATTGGAGCCAGTAAAGCATTGCAACTATGGTTTGTGGATCATATGAACTGGCTCCTGTAGACTCTTCCTTTCATCCATGTCCGTATCTCGGTAATGACAATTAGCAACATGGACAGGGGGAAGAATGAAATGCACTTGCATTTCAAGCACATATCCCTGCAGTTGCTGGTAGGATTTCTAGTTCCTCGTCAAAGATCGATGAATGGATGATGTGGCTGTGTGGGTGAAGCCAATCACAGCTACGCTGAATTATGAAATCAACACCAGCCTGTGGGGAAATTAACCCCAGGATTCAGGTTATTAGAGGGGAGGGGGGTGCATGGTTGTGATGTGACCGTGTTTCATGTTACACCCTGGGGGCAGATTCACACCATATCCAGAAAAATGCATCCCCATTAATTCCTATGGTAAAAAGGG